TTTTGTATAATTTGTAGAAGCCGTCCAGAATAATAAGAATCCTCGGCGAGGCCCAGAAAAAAACGAAATATAGAAATCTAGAATAGACCATGCAGAAGAACAGCGGAATCCGGATACAAAACGTCCCGAATATACGCATACAGAACCTACATGTGGCACCGAATTCGAAACCCGGAACAGCCGAAAGGCCCTCCTCACCTTTTAGCAGAAGAAAAACCATATCCCCAGTTTCCTTTAGCTCGGTGAAAGTTTCATATAATTGTTCGGCAAAGCAAAATAAAAAAATCAAAACCTGGGCTAAAATCCAGAACAAATTTCTTCAATCGTATCAATGCCCAAGAGGTCGGAACTCCGGAGGATTTAAGAAAAGCACTACCGCAAGATGTACGTACGAAACCAAAACTCTGGAAATCTGGCCATGCAGAACGGCTGTTACAAAGGCTCCAAAAAGATACACGACCGGCCAGTACAGGAAAGCAGTCGGCGAGGACGCTCGGGGAAAATTTCGACGCAGCCACCACGGCATCGGTATTTTGGAGATTTTTCCAACCCTGAATCCGACATCCCATCATCGAAACTTAGGGTCCTCAGATCTCTTGACCATCGAAGTAGTGTTTTGCGGTCACAGACAGCAGCAGTCACGCCGGGATGCGGAATTTCGATGGTACGACCTCTTCGAACTTCCCAGTTCTATGTATCTGGTATTGCCTGAGGCCCGGCATGCTGAGATCTTTATAAGATCTGCTGGACGATGGACAAAGCATAAGCAGGCAATGGTAGCCTGGTGGATCCATGCTGTTGCGACGGCGGCTTGCAAGGCTGTGCCAAGGCCTGAGGCATGACTGTAAGCATCCCAATAGGGTATTCGCTGAGAACAGAATTGGGGCGACATGGCGTTGCACCGGTCTTCCAGCGTGTTGGGGCCAAGTCTTCCTTACGTTTGGCATATATCTGGAAGCTCCGGGGCATGTGCTCTCTTGACACTGCCACATGGATTCAAAACACAGGCAAGTTCATGCTATGCGTTTGAAAAGCACGGGATGCGAACTTGCATTTTTGCTTGGATACGCACATGACTTACCGCACCTATCGCGAAAGTCATCTCTAGCCATTTGGCAGTACCAGCTCAGATCCAAGATCAGGCAGCATCTTCATTGATTCATGGCGTCTGCGCAGCCGCTCCACTCACATGTGTTGTCAGGGGCTGTGCGGATCCCTTGACTTGAGCAGGGTACGCCGGTGCGCATCTTGAGAAATCCCCACTCCGTGGTCCCGAGGCTGAGCCCACTGAGCGGAGCCAATAAATAGCATCCTTCCGGTCACATCAGAAGAAGATTTCCAACATCTCGAATTCCCATTGCGGGATTGCTTTTGCCTCCCACATGGCTATGGCTATTGCAGGATTGCGTTGCGAGTGTTCCGTGCAGGACTTGAACAGGCCGTCGCTGCTCTCACTAGTGAGTAGTGTGTGGGTGCATGCTGTGCCCACGCTTCTACGTGGGCTATGAGGTTGAATACAGCTTTTGTTTTATTGCAGCATTGCACGGGTCCAGGCACAGGAAAACATGACCACGCTGGCAAGCTACAAGGTCACGAAAGCGACCACGCGAGCTCTTGGAACCACCAGCGAACAAACAAGCGCAAAGCCCCCGTGTCCAAACTCTCAGGTTGCTCCGGGGCATGTCCGTGCCATCGAATTAGACTACCAGGTCAGGCCTTTGCTTCCGCATTTACGCCCTCTCCGCTGCACACTGATCGGCAATCACAGCACTCTAACTTCTGCGGCTTCTGTTATGACTAGATATCATCATCGCTTCTCAAACACCCTTCAAGCTGGGACTGCGGCTCAGGAAGATTCCAGACCCATTGTGGATCCCATCAAGGTGCAGGACCGATGGACTTCGTTTTCATGTATATGCCTATGTAAATCAATGAAGAAAACATGTCTATATATATATATATATATATATATATATACATACATACATGTGTATAAACGTCGAAACCCGACTGCTATAAATAGTTCTTCTGACAGCACATAGCTCCGGGACATCGTCTCAGGCCTTCGAGACCTGCCGCCGGGATGCAACGCTGCTTGATGCGATTTTGCGCATCGGGTGCCCGAGGTGATGTGCCATGACCTTGTCGACGGTGGCCTTGCCATCGCGTGATCCGTGCATCTGCGGGGTTTGGCCTAGGAATTGGTCTTCCGGATGTCGACGAAACAGCGGGCTCTGTGTAAGTTCTAACTATAAACCTATCTCACTCGAAAACTTATTGGCGAGGCCTAGCGGCCCTAACTAAGGTTCTCGGCAGGTCCCAAACACCGTGAGAGACTCGAACTTGCAAATTGCGGGACTTTGGGCTTCTCTCTCTCTCTCTCTCTTTGTGGGGTGCAGTGGGAGTTAACAAATCTTTCAGGATGTGGGGCTCCCGATTCCTAAGCTTGCTACCACACTCTTTTTGGTGTGGCTTGGCCAAGAATTTCAGGCTTTGGGAATCACCAACACTTGTTTTCGGGTTTGGGTTGCTGCATTGCCCACTCCTAAATCTCCTTTCGGGAGTTGAGCTCGCCACCCGAGACTCACGTTCATAACTTCCCATGCGAGCCAAATCTAACTCCGTAGGCCCGACTGAGACACCGGGCGGCTGAGGAGGATTGGACTGCAGTGACGGTCAAATGTTGACGTGAGGCGCAGCATGCCAGTGTGCCAACTAGACTAAGGACAGCGTACAGTTCATCACAGTCCCTGCACGACTAAGAACAAGCTCCTAGGCTTCCTCTGCGGACTTCACCGCGGCTCTTGAAACACACCGCGCTTCCCATCTGGTTCACAGCTCCTCACCCCTGAGACTTTCTCCAGCAACGCAGGGCCCACATGAACGCTCACATAGATGACAAGTGATAACATGCAACATTGACAGCACACGCTGTCTCAAGTGACTAACACGGATCCAGTGAAACCTTTCTTCGTGTCATTTACCGGAACAAAAAGACATGGAGTGTAAATCTAACTATCGGCACCAAGTGCCAAGATCTGGTAGGGTTTAGGGTTTTCAGGGCTCACAGCGGTGCTCTGAGTCCTTTCGGCGTTGAAAAGGACCCCGGTACTTCTCTTCGTGTCCGCGTTTCGTTTTCGCGCTCTTCCATTCTTTCCTGCCGACTGTTCCTTTGCTGTTCCTCTGCCCCTCGAGATGCAGAGCAAACACAATCGCCACAAGCGATCGCTTTCCCAGGAGGTCAGTCAATAAACATTCGCTAATGAATAGCTTCCCTGAGGCACGGAGTTCCTCGCTTTCCATGTGCAAGACCAGCACTGCACGGCAGCGCCCTCGTTGAGCTTTACGGTTGCTGACTCCTTCGCAGTTTCCCGGGTGGGTACTGTCACTTGCCTTTCGAAAGCTTTGGAGCTGAAGACGCGGTCAAGACGGATGGATGAAGCCGCCAATGCTCGCGCTTCTGTGCTCCTGAACTAGAGCCTTAACCGTCTTAACCTTAGAGGAACGTTTGGCCACTGTTCGAAGCTGAGATTTGAGTACGACATTCCGTCCCCAGAAACTAGAACTTGCCCCATCAACACGGTACCAGGCTTCAGTGCACCAACCAGAAAGCCCACAAAGATATGAACGTGCGCGCCTCAAGCTTCCTGCCCAGAGACTGCGACAACCACCAGCGCAGGTTGACCATGTCCTTCACCGTAGCCTTAGTCACCATCGCAGAAAGACACTTCGGAAACTTGGTAGCACGGAGTCCCCAAATATTCGGCAGTAGCCGGAATTCATGCAGTATCGGGAAAAACTATCGCTGACCTGATCCAACGGATAAGGTTTCTCCAGATTCGGTGGGTGGGTGGGTGGGGTGGCGGGCCGATCCAAAGTTAGCACTAGTCTGCATGGACGAAACCCTCGCGGCATCTCCGAAACTTATCAGCGCTGTGTCATTGTTGCACAAGGCAAGCCTCGTTCCGACAGCAGATGGTGCCATGGGTCCTAAACACATTGCAAAACAATTGCGATGCTTGTGCTGGTAGCACTCGGAGTCCACTCTGCCTCACACTTAAATCTGGCCTGCGAAAGCAGCCGAAAATGCGGGAACAAAAGAGAAAACAGCAGAAGAATGGTGCTTCTGCCCTGCTGGAACGCATTGACGATCCCAGGAGCGGTGTTGCTCTTTTGGAGCTGCAACACCTGTTCCACAAAGTCCGCGAAAGAGATCTGATGAGCCTGGTGTCGGACTCGGACGCTTGAAGACTTTGTCTGCAGGGTTGACATGGGGGTTAGTCACTGGTTTGCACTTCTGGACGCATGATTCGGTTGCTCACACAAACCGTCCAACAATCGAGCTGAATGGAAGCACAACCAAAGATCTCCAAAGGTCTTCATACAAATGCTCGGGCGGTGTGCCTGACCCTCAGTATCGGTGGTCTTGGCAACGCCTGATCAGGAAACCCAGAGGCTTACAGCTTGTCGGCTGAGAGTCAGCACTAAGAGTGAGTCTTGCGGCAAAGTAGCAGGGGCTTCCATGAGCTCCACGGGCAGAAGCCAACGCACACGACAAAACCGACTGGGGATTCTTTTGTAACCGGTACGACCACACCAACACAGTGTTCAGGGATCTGGCGATGCTCAAACGGCTCAAACCCTTGGAAAATCTGTAAACTCCGGAAGCCCCATGTCAAATCCAACCCATGGTGAACACAGGAAAATGCAGTGCCAAAGTGCCGAACTCAATCCTGACAAGACACATCCAACCGAATAACACGAGCATCTGTACCGAAGTATGAAGAAGTCGCACCGCCAGTGCAGGAAACCGTTGAGTTGGGGCCTCGCTCTTCGAAGATTAAGTCTGCAAAGTCAATCAAGCTCACCTGAGTCATGGCAACACCGGGGAAGTTGTTTCTATCATCCAGCGCACTACCACCAGCTGACCGAGGACGACGGGTACACTGCGCGCTTCTACTGATGCTCTTGCTACTCCTGCTTCTGGTCCAGTCGCTGTTGCTGCCAACTATTACTATGGCTATTGCTCTTGCTATTAGTGTTATTGTTGCTACTACTACTACTACTACTACTACTACTACTACTATATACTACTACTACTACTACTACTACTACTACTACTACTACTACTACTACTACTACTACTACTACTACTACTACTACTACTACTACTACTACTACTACTCTTACTACTCTTACTACTCCTACGAGTACTCCTTGCCCCTTCTCTTACTGCTTCTGCTGCTGGAAGACCCCAGAACCATGTTTATCATTGCCCGCAGGACCTTCAGAATCTGATACCAAGCGCCCCTGCTATAAAATAAACATTGCGAGCCTTGGAGCGGAGGGAAGTGCATGGGGTGGTTATTATTTGGACCCTGCCCTTCGTTTAGATTAGTTTACAACGAGCCCCGAATCCACTCTCGGCAAAACAGTCTCTCTGCTTCTGCTTTCAGGACGAGCTGCTATCTCTCTCTCTCTCTCTCTGCCGTTGCATCCAGACGAGCTGCTATGTCAACCCCGATTTCGTTCAGCGCCATCGCAACTTCCTGTGCGGGTAGCTCGGGTTCAACTTTCGAACTCACTCCGTGCAGCCATTGTAGTCTGACTATTGGGAGTGCATCACACTTGTGGTCGCCATCCTCGGGGTCTTTCAGGATCACGGCGCCAATGTTGTAGTTGCAATTTGTTTTACGAACGCGAACCCAAGCGAATTTTCGAAGCGCTCGGCTTTAGGGGCTGTGTAGCCAATGGAATCGAAAGCCTGGCGTGAACAAGACAAGGCAACAACGCAACGATTTAAATTTAAGCACATGTATCTGGAATCTCCGGGTTGTCGGAATTCGTTCCCCGAGAGCAACTTGAAGCACTGGACTCCTCATCCTAAGCAGTCTGGTCGTCGAGGCATTGCGTGCCTGGTCCCGCAGGATCTGGTAAAACTCCTCCTGGTCGACGAAAACGTCCGATCCTTGTTCGAGGCAAGAGGTGGTGTTGCAAACTGCAGCACGAAGCTTTTCGCATAGAATGCAGAATGAACGGCAGACACTTTGAATGCTCCTTTGCAGAACGGCGGAGCACATCAGAGCCTTCTTTTGGAGCTAGTCATTCTGTGTCGCTATGCAGGAATCAGCCGCAGACTAAGTCTGGCAAAAGCCAGACCGGCATCGGCAACGTCACTGACAACTGCCATGATGTTTGACAAGTAACCACCCACAACTCGCCGGAGAGTGTCTTTCACCCAGCTGACCTGTCAGACGTGTGACATCTCATAGGTACCAGCTACCGGGGAAGCTTGCTTCTTCGGCGGCTGCAGGTAGGTTGGTGCGATACGGATGATGGCCCAAACAACAAGCACAACATGGCTTTTGCATCGTGCATGAGCCAGTTCTATATGTTCTATTGATCGGCGCAGATTCGTGCGAAGCCTCGCTGCGCACTCTGGAGTGTCAATGTAGCCTGTCCGAGTGTAGCCGCCGAGGAGCCTGCAACGATTCCTTCTCCGCCGCAGCAACTGCGGTAATTACCTCGCACATGACACCAATCCTTGGATTCGACGCGTCGGTCAGCTCCAAAATCAAAGGAACCAGGCTGAGCTTATGATATGCAAAGCATCAGCATGTTCATGATCGTAATCGAGGAGAAGATGATGAAGAAGTACAGGCCAGCCAGCGCAAGCCATAACCTGACGACGAAGTACTGCCCTCTCAACGAGATCGTACACCCGAGAGATGCAGCGCGGGGCACTGGGGGGTCTTCAGGACAGCTGGGGCTGAGTATGTATTGGGCTCAGTATGTGTGCTGACATAAAGTGCTTCCGCAATTGTGCAGGCCGCACTTGGACATGGCATGGCTAGATGAAAGAATCTTTAGTCTGCCATTTCTGTTGCTTGAACATTGTCGTAAACGACTCGGGAGTGAACACAACCTGTGCCAGAAGCTGTGTAAAATATTGGACAACCATGCGATCATGGATGCGCTCAAGTACAATCATCACTCCCTGTCGCTGCTGTCGTGAGCATCAGGATCGTACATCTTCAGCTTCTCTCCATGACATGTACCATCCAAAACTTCAAGCCCCATCCACATGGCGAAACTGCATCTCGGATCGAGCTGCTTTTCAGTGACCATTGCTGACACGAGGTCCCATACTTCGTCCAACAGGGTACCGAAGATGAAGAAGCCTCAAAGCTCTTGTTGACTTATTGGTGATGGTGCAATGCAGGACTTCCAGAAACGGGACTTCTCGGGTGGAACAGGTGTGTCGTCCATAAATCACTTTTCGCTTGCGATCCCCAACCCCATCAATAAACTGTTGGGTCGAGGCAGCCTACGATTTCCATACTTGATCAATCCTTAACAAGTGCCGGCAGAATCTTGGGGTTCAAGATTCAGACCCTAAGTCCACGCGCGATTTAGATCTTTTGCGTGACACCCTCTGTTTGGGAGGCTGAGACTTTGAAAACTCAGGGGCTAGGGAAAGGCTTCCAAGAGAAGAGATTGTTTTGCTTCCGTTAGGCTCTTCTCATTCTTGAGGATGCGCCGTCCACAAACCTACAAGAATCCAACCGTCCGGGACAAGGCTTTTCAACAGGAGTCGTTGTAAAGTCGATCAGATCAAGGCTTTTCGTGAGGTTGCCCTCCGTCTTGGAGGCTGCAACAGCCAGAAACCTCGCACATCCTGGGCACTGGCAAAGGCCTACAGAAATTGAACTGTTAGAAGACCGCGTTCATGGGATGGCGACGGCGAAAAAAACATCCGACATGTGTGGTGATGTATAAACTTGTATTGTCAGGACGACCTGACACCCTACCAACCCATGCAGGGCGCAGTATGGAGAAAGGTCACAAGCCCTTTCCGATTGAAAACCTGACCAGACACCGAACCGACCCCTTTGATAGAACGTTGGATTAAGGACCTAAGCCTTTCCAACAGAAGCCGTTGTTGGAGAATTCACGAGATACTGACTTGACTCAAGGCGCTCTCACACTCGCAAACGTCAGAATAGCGCGTCTAGCTTCAGTGCCTGTGCACTGCCTGTGCGTAAGTGGCTGCTGCAGACGGATAATCTGACACGCGAGGTGTACCGCTCGAAAAGTCGCAGATGCCCTCAGTTTCCCCCCCGTCCATGCTCGGCAGGAACCTTTGTGCATTTTGTTTTCGACGTCGCATTCGGTCTTGATTTCACCTGCGAAAATATGTCTGGGAGACAGCTGCTGAGACTTCTGGAACATGTATTCGGGTCGGGCGAAATTAGTCAAACATGTCAGTCATGATGTGATAAATGACCAAAGTGGGACCCCCCCTCGCAGCTGTGATGCATCGTCTCTGAACGGTGATGTGCGCGTCATTCAACGGTCATACTGGCTTGTTGCGGTTCCTGCTGCTGAACTTCTTTGGATGCGGCCCAAAAAGCTTTGCATCGAGAGGAGGACGTTGTTGAAATAGATACGGCCGCACTCTGTTCCCTTCAACGACTGGGTGTAGGCAATGGAGAAGGCCTCATCGCAAACGGGCCGTGTGCAAACAGCAGCCCAGCTACCTCCCAAGCATTGTTTTGTTGCTGGAAACTGCCAAGTAGCATAAAGCAGCAGCATGAGCAAAGCCAGCGTAAATACCACGGAGCGCATTGCTGCCACAATGGCCTGAACGCAGCGGGACCCAGGTATTGTGGCATTGCAAGTGGACACTTTTCGGGACTTCGACAGAGCTCTGTTCATCTTGAAGACACCGGCCTTCACCAAAATGAAAAGCTCCGGCATGTAGCGCAACAACCTGATTCTGACGCAGCAAAACGCACAGGCTTAGCCTCACAACCACACGTCCGGAACATGTGTGCGTGTGTATGTGTGTGCGTGACGACGTACTCGTGACGGTGCTACAGGAACTTGCTTCACGTTCCAGCTTGAAGCAAGACCTCACGACATGATTGCGCCGGTCGACCTGGCCATGCGCAGCAGGCGGGTGAGGCGCAGGAGCCGGGCGATCCGCAAAACCTGCCATGATCGCTAGGCAGTATTGTTTCTATTATTCCACACCAACTAAAAAGCATTTGTGCCTACAGCCCATTGCAGGCAAGGGGCGCTTGCATCTGCAGCCAAGCCTGCACGAATTGGGAAATGCTGCCACAGAATATCTCCCACAGAAGGTTACAACTCAACATCCACGTGCAGGAGCACGGCAGCACAAGGCTTTCTATGTGTATGGCCTCGGGAGCAAAATTTGTCGCTCGAGCTTACAGGTTTGGAGGGTATGGGGAGCTTCTCGCAGGCCAGGCGCTCGCAGAGACCTGATGAACAAAGAGCTGGATCAAGGGAACCAGCCACGTCCTCATGCCAGCGCAGACGATTCTACACAACCACAGTCCAGATCTTGGAAGCTCTTACGGTGGCTCAGTTCCCAAATGCCTCGCAATTTAGAATGCTCGACGGGATAATGCTCGAGCTTGCTCAACTCCCTCATCGGTCAGTTGAGCATGCAAGTCGATAAATGCCGAAAATGCAACTTGCGACAAGGAGGCTGTAGGACCATTGTCGCCACCAGGAAGAAATCAAAGACGAACCAAACATCCTGCCATCAGCTTGGTGTCTAGTCTAGTCTGACACGTCAACTTGAACACACATACACACACCAACCTGTGCAAGTCGGAGGCTCTAGACATTTTCGGGCTCGAGACGGCAGCGGTCACCCCTGCTGGCGACAATAAGTCGTGTGCTGTCATATCCCTGATCTGAGAAAGCCTCTCACAACGTGACTGGAAGGAACTCCTCCACAGGTACATTATATGCATGGCGCGTGGCAATCTGCTTTGAATGAGTACCTTTCGCCGACCCTAGTGTGGCAAAGCTGTGGGCTCTGCAGTACACCTTGTGACACTCTGTGACCAAAAACTCTCTATTGCTCTATTCCAAATGACCCGGGTCCTTGAAGCATTTCAATTTGGATTTGATCGAGAGAAACCGGAGCAGCAGCTCGACAAAGAAGAATGTGCAAAAGAACTGATCCATCCAGAAGAAAACTGAGCTGGGGTCTGTATTGACCTCAGGTTCCACCCAGGTTGAGCTCCAACACTTGTCAGTTGTCGCATGGCACGTCGGAAGCTCCGACCCCAAACCAGTTGGAAGAACATACAACCCCTCACAGAGGCATCGGCATCATCCGGGTTGTAGTCGGTGTCAATCGCCAGGTAGATGGCATAAAGTGCGATCCTAAGCGAACTGAAGGGCCCTGTACTGCGGGTGCAGCTAATACTACAATCGCTGGCGCTACGGCATGACTGCTACTACTATTACTACTGCTGCTACTGCCACTACAGATGCTACTTGAAAACTACTGCTGTTGCTACCACAACTACTACTGCCACTACCACTTCGTCTACCACTATCACAACCACTACTACTCCTACTACTGCTACTACTACTACTACCACCACTGCTGCTGCTACTGCTACTGTAATGGTACTGCTACTACTACTACTACTACTACTACTAATACCGCTACCGCTATCAAAAAGCAACTACTCCTGCTGCTACTTCCGTTGCTGCTTCTACATCTACTTCTTCTACTGCTGCCACGACTACTTCTACTTCTGCTTCTACTTCTAGCTGTACTAGTCCTACCAGTGCTACAAGTACAAACACAACAACAAGAACCCCTACTAGTACTACGACGACGACTACTACTGATAAAACCTCGGCTACCGCGTCTACCACTACTGCTGCGGTCCACGGCAACGACGACGACCACTGCTGCTGCTGTAGCTGCTGCTACGACTGCTGTTGCTACTGGCTACTATGACGACGACGGCGGAGACAAGAACACTAGCAAAAGCAACAAGAACAACAACCAAAACAATAACAACGACTAGAAGAATAATCATTGTAATAAGATCAACAACAGCTGCCACAACAACACCGACAGCAGCAGCGACAGCAACAACAAGAATGAGCAACCACACAAGAACAACCAGTGTCAAACAACACTGACACAAGCACGCCGCAGCAGCCAGCGGCAACAATAGCAACAATTATACCAGAAGCACAATAACAGCAACAAAACATAACAACAGCAACAACACCAACAAGGAGGTGCGGGTCCGCAGCCGCGTGGGGTTTGTCGTTTATTTTTTTCGGAGGCTTTTTCAAAAGCCTGAAAACCTCCAGTTTTGTTTGGCTTTCAACTTTCGTGAACAAAATGATGTTTCGGAGCTTCTTTTTCATAG